CCCTACTTTCGTATTATTGTCAGTGACTAAAAAAAATCAAGGCTTTTCATAAACAATTTAGGTCAAAGGCTAGGCTCAAAGATTGGTAGAATATACAGATAAAGCAAGGTGTAGAGCTGGATGAACACAGCAGGCCAAGCTGCATCAGAGGACCAGGAAAGCTGACGTTTTCTGAAGAAGGGTCTAGGCCCAAAATGTCAGCTTTCCTGCTCCTCTGATGCTGCTTGGCCTGCTGTGTTCGTCCAGCTCTACCCCTTGTTATCTCAGATTCTCCAGCATCTGCAGTTCCTACTATCTCTGGTAGAATATACAGTTCTGGTTACAATGAATTCTTTTCAGTTTTAGGTTCCTCCACTGCCTATTGGGCAGTGAGTGCTGCCAAAAGGCTGCACAAATGAAATATAACCACTCTGCACCCCATGCTGAAACAACAATGGTCATAAAGTTTATATTACATTTACAAAGTGGACTGTGACCACAATAAATGGACCCCTTTTAGCCTTGGAACATGCAAAAAAAATCCAAGTTCTTGGTGACACACAGGGATATCCACAACTATTGTAGTGCATCAAAAAAACAGGGGTCATGGTCTTGAATCACAATTGAGACAGCATCAGGCATTTCCTGATTCCAAGATTGCAATTCAACAGATCTCAGGACCTATGAGGAGGTCTCTGGTGGCTTATTGTATGTGAGAACCTTACACATGGCAGTCACATGGCTGAAAATCAGATTGCAAGCTTTAAGCGGTGATTATAAGGATCAACAACTGGGATGATAATTTTACTTGGAGAAAATATTTCTCACTTTCCACTTTGTGCATACTCTGGGGCGCTAAGACCTTGCAGACAGAGAGGTCAAAATTTAAAGGGAATCAATGACCTCAATTTCCATAAGAATTACTACTGCAAAGTGCTGCTCAAACTGATTGCTGAAGACTACCTATAAATGGATCAGTAATCAAAGACTCCCATCTAAAACATTATATGATAAAACTACTCGGAATATCTGAGTGACTTTGTACTTTTTGGACCTTTTTTGAATTTAATTGCTTAAGTATTGATTAAATTCCCCTCTTTTGAACAAGTTGAACTTGCCTGCCTCCCACCTTAGTAATAGAGGGCTGCCAGTGATCTTCCTTGCTTTTCTCAGTGCTCCTCCATGAGCAGTCCCCTCTGATCTGACGCAGCTGGCTCACGATGCAAGGCATAAATGGTAGCCTTGACCCTCAGTATCTCCCTCATCTTTGGTGTACTGCTTGACTGTCTTGCTCGTCCGCCCTTCACTTGTGCATCAAATTTGAAGTCCTACCCTACATGCATTTCCATGGACCTGTGTGCATGGACCTTATCGATCTCCAAAATCCTGTGTATACACTTGACCCCTTCTCATTTGCTGCCCTGTGCCCTGCCTAAAGACCAGCAACCTGACTCCACAGAGCCCGTCGCCTGTAGCTTTCCAAAGTTGTACTGCATTGATCCTGCCTCAAGACTTGAAAATGGTCACAAGCCTCCAGTCAGACCTGTGATAGCAGGGACGAGGGATGACCTTTGGGTGCAGGGGAGACACTTGTGAGAGTGAAGGGAAGGGAGCTGTGAGCATGGGTGCCCGTTTGAGCAGCATCAAAACTGTCCTATCTTGGTCAAATCTGTGGCTCCACTGGGGGTTGTTACACCCCCACTCTACCCCAATTTGGGAAGGCCTGTTGGAGCTATCCTGACCTCTTTGTCATTGAACTCACTCTCTTATCCATTCTGTCTTGTTCTCTCTGCACCTCTTCCGAAAAAAGTCTTCAAAGTTCATTTCCTAGACTGTGGTCATTTCGCTGAACAGTTTTCCATTTTTCATTCAGACTGCCCTTGCAACTCCAAAATGTTTTGAGACTTGTGTTTTTTATGTGAACAATGCTACCTCATTGAAAGTTGTCAGTCTCAAATGGCAGCATGGTGGTTCAGTGGTTAGCGCTGCTGCTCGGGACCCCGGTTCAATTCCACCCTCGGGCAACTGTCTGTGTTGAGTTTGCATGCTCCCCCCCGTGTCTGCATGCGTTTCCTCTGGGAGCTCGGGTTTCCTCCATCCGCAGTCCAAAGATGTGCAGGTTAGGTGGATTGGCCATGTCAAATTGCTCATCATGTCCAGGGATGTGCAGGCCATGTGGATTAACCATGTTTAATGCAGGATTACAGGTGCGTCTCTGGGGGTTGGTGTGGGCTCGAGGGGCCAAATAGCTGCTTCCATGCTGTAGGGATTCTATGATTCTCTGAAACTTGGAATAGTCAGGAATGCAGGCAGCACTTCCATGCAATTGCTGGAAAATTGTAGGAGGACACAAGAGCTTGGAGAAAAGTCACATGGTAATGTGAGCACACACCTTGAGCAAAATAATTGGAGACCAGTGCCTGAATTACCTTAATCTTTGCATTCATAGATACATCAAGGTGCTTTTAATGAAATAATACATCATAACAGCATAATATCTAGGAGCAGGAGTAGGTCATTCAGAGATTAGAGCCTGCTATTCAATTCGGTGAGATCATGGCTGATCTTCTACACCAACACCATTCTTGTGCACCATCCCCCATAAGCCTTGATGTTTTTAATATGTAGGAATCTATTGACCTCTATCTGATTGGACTCTATGACTGAGCCCCCTTAGCTTTGTCGGGTGGAGAATTGCAGAGATTCAACCACTGAATGAGGAAATTAATGGAGAAGGAGGTTTATTGTTTAAAGAATGTCTTTGAATGTTCAACATGGTAGATCATGCTTGCAGTGTCAGTGAACCTAGGGTGAAGGTGGCAGCCTCCCAACCTGTTTTGATTTGATTTGATTTATTATTGTCATATGTACCTAAGTACAGTTAAAAAAAATGTTGTTTTTCATGCAGTACAGCAGATCACAACAAACAAAGACACAAAGATCTTAGGGTGATTAAACAGAGCAAGGAACACAAGGTAACAAGGTGTAGACTTGGATGAACACAGCAGGCCAAGCAGCATCGTAGGAGCAGGAGCTTCTGCTCCTATGATGCTGCTTGGCCTGCTGTGTTCATCCAGCTCTACACCTTGTTATCTCAGATTCTCCAGCATCTGCAGTTCCTACTGTCGCTGAAGGAATACAAGGTTATGGCTGCAAAGAAGGGGTACATAAAGCTCAATCAACATTAAATTTGAAATTTGAGAGGTCAATTTAGGAGTCTAATAACAGCGGGGAAGAAACTGTTCTTCAGCCTGTTAATACATGTGTTTAAGCTTTTGAATCTTCTGCTTGACGGAAGAGGGTGGAAGAGATTATGCCCGGGATAGGATAGGTCGTTGATGATGTTGGCTGCCTTTCCACAGCAACGATAAGTGTAGCTGGAGTCAATGTTTGGAATGTTTTCTGAATCTACATCACTCTTCCAACAAAATAATAAAATACCTTTATGCACCTACAATATACTCAGTTAGAGATCGATAAAAACTGAATCCCCTTCATCTCTCCCTGTTCAAACCCTCTGCTGACTCCCACAACACCACCCACCTCCTGATCGGGAGGGATACAGGAATACAGAGATACATGAGGGATACAGATACAGGAAAGAGGGCTATTCTTCCTGTTCTTCTTTCTGCTCCTGGTGATGGTGGTGGGAGGAGCACTCATCAGGAAGCTCAGTAAGGTTTCAGTCCACCATCAAAGTCAAGACAGAACAACAAGGGGGCTTTCTCATGAAATAAGAATTGAAAATGCAGGAAATACTCAGCAGGTCTGAGGAGGGAGAAACTGAGTTGCCATCTCGAGTTGTAGATGACTTCTTCTGAAGACCACTCAAAGGTGGCTGAAAGGGTTCACGTTTTCTTTCTGATGAGGTGAGGTGGAGTTGGGTTGGATGGAGGTTGAAACGGGACGTACTGTCTAAGTGAACAGCTTCATTAAATCCGTCTGCTGAATGTGAAAGATGTGGTTGTCATGCCTCATTGCAGAACTACGAGCTCAATAGTTAGCCTGGTCCTGCAGAGTGACTGTGGCAGCAGTGAATTCAAGCTGACTGCCTGTCCAATGCAGACTGGACAACTCAACTGATCTATCTCTGCGCTGTATTATTTTGTGGTTATTTGCAAATCTATTTGTGTGAGTGGGTTAATCCATTGAACATTGAACCATTCGATTAGCTGGGAAAGGAGTCTGGTGCATTTAACTTCCACACACAGCATTGGTTCCAGCGGTAGTAGGAACTGCAGATGCTGGAGAATCTGAGATAACACGGTGTAGAGCTGGATGAACACAGCAGGCCAAGCAGCATCAGAGGAGC